TGATAATATAACATTACAACATAAAAACATTCACCCTTTGCTTCGATTCAAGTTTATAGATTTCAATCAATACGAACAATTTTTATCTATCTCGATGAAGAACAGATGCATCTCACTTTTTTAGATTATTCATCATATCATCATAAAGGGTGGAGGAAGATGGTGTTAGATTTCATCCAAGTCTTTAGGATATAAAACCAAAACACTCGAAGATTTGAATCACTTTAAAATGCTTAAGCCAACATTTATCAATCCAAGCTTTATAAAACGTGGAAATGAAAATAAAAACCAATGACCGTTCAAAGAAGTGGAGCCAAAAACTTGAAAGCAAAAAAAAAACTTAAAAACAGAATATGTCAAGCTGATCTTTCTGAATCAGACAGAGCTTGATCAATTCATTTCTCAGCCAGATGTTATGCAATCTGACGACGTTAGCGGAGGTGATTGTTTTCTCCTACTTACATATGCTCTCTTGATAGTCGCGAGCTGGAAGTGAGCGAGTTTCCGATTGCGACCTGTACTACAGTCAACTCCCTCTAATTACATACAGTTTGGCGGGTGGTTTTTTCATGCACTTAAAGGAATATGCACTTATAGACCTCATTTTGGCTTGAAAACCCCTTTTTGGCGGCAAAAAATCCTATGCAGATAGAGAATTATGCACTTATAGGGATATCAACTTAGAGGGAGTTGACTGTACAAGGTACTACATCCAAGGCTCAAGCCATCTTCCTATGTACATACAGGAAGGTGGCGTCTTGAGGATACTTTTCGCCCATCTGCCTTTTCGCCCACTTTCGCCGGATCTCAACGATAATCGAATTCTCTGGAACATCAAGCCACAAAGGCAAACTTCACTGACATTGCGTTGGGAACCTACACTTCTCCTATATCTCACGAAATCTGCTGTACGCCTTTGGACAAACAGTACGAAGCCGATCTTCAATCAATATTAACTTGCCCGCCAAAAGATCGGGCAAGAGATATGATAGTCTTTAATGCACTGGTCGACAATCTAATGGCAGAAATCAAGTTGTTATACGACACTGAGAATATTGACGGTGAATTTTGCATTGATCTTCTCGTGGTTTTTGATCGTGAAAGTCATGCATGGCCCATTGCCAAAAACGCAGACGTCATTTCTAAAGGTGTTTCACTTCGCACCATACTAGGTAGTGAGGCTATCAAAGGAATGTTTATGTGTATTTTAAATTGTATTTCAAAATGGCAAGATTCGGAAATCTATAAATCAAACCTTTCAGATATTGCACTTCTTCATAAAGCTCGAGTGGTTGCGGCAACAAAGAAATTGGAACAAGCACAATTGAAGAAGTTGGATCGACCAAAAAAAAGAGGAAAGCTCAAGAGGCCAACGTAGAAACTGATATTTTAGAACAGTCCAACTCATTCGTTAATCAGGAGTTTTCACAAGAACCAACTCGTCAGGTTTTGAAACGTCCGTCTAAGAAGGTCTCTCAATTGTCCGGCTCAGATCTTGGCCTCCCTAATGATACATCAAACCCACCAAAGAATGCTCAACAGTCATCACGCATCTCGGTTTCTAGGATAACACGTGATATGTCTTTGCAATATCCGAGTCATAATGGGTTTGCCGATAGAGCCTATCAAACTCATGTGAAGCAATCCCTCCTTCCATCAACACCTCAGACACCCTATGTTACGCGAGCATATGTTGTTTTCCAGGATACTCCTTCAGAAAACCTCGGACCTATGCGCCCTCCGAATCCTTATCCTGTCACCAGGCTGCTTCCCTCAGCAAATCAGGCCTATCAGACTAATACTCGCACAACGATGACTACACCGGTGTCTTTGGGTCTCAACCGTGCCGAGCTTGAATATCCTGATATGGTCAAGTACCCCAACGCAAATCGATTCAATCCTCAAGTGATCTCCCCATCAACTACTCCATCCGCTTTGAATACACAACCTCAATCAAATTTGAACACGAGGTTGCCACTGTCAAACCTCACCAACCTCAATCGACCTACACTACCAGGAATACAACGTTTAGAATTTTTCGCGCCATCAAATAGATCTTCTGCTGTACGGTCAGCTCCGGACTATCAAATGGCATCCCTTTCAAGTGTTATCAATAGCAATCAACCTCAACAACATTTTGATGCGAACAAACAACACTCCTCACTCTCACAAAGCTCTCCTTCATTTCACATCATTAAACAACGTGATCGTAATCAAACAAATTCCCCAGTCCAAACCTCCCAAAAGTTTCCAACCCTTCCGGTTCTAACTCAGTCCAACAGGCCCTATCACCATTTGAACCAACACATCACGTATCGAACTCCAACACTTACAACTAGTTCCAACAATCAACAAATCTTTCGGAATGATCAGAACATTTCTCGAGATCAAACGCAACCAAACTTTCGACAATCTGTCCTGCCAACTACCAACCGCAACGTACAGTCGCCAGTCCATCAACAAAAAAAATCAGAACTCCATGGGCAAACCTACCGAACGTAGCCATGTAAGTCTTTTTGAACCCTTTATTGAATTCATATGTATAAGTTCACTCACTTTCTTCAAACATCTCGTTTGATGTTTCTTCCAATGATTCTTCGCCTGGTTGATTGGTTGTAGCGGTTTGATCTTGAGCGAACGTCGGAATGTCATGTGATTGAGTGCTTCCCCAATGGAATCGAGACTTAGCATGATGAGTGTACTCTGTCTGAAAGATCTCCTGCAACTTCTCGAAACCAGTTTGCAGGAGATCAGGCATCGGTTCCGGTTGAGACGTATCATTGTGTGAACTGTACATTCGATCAGCAACACGAAGAAAGGCTTGAATTGATTTTGTAGTTAAGTGAATGTGTTTTGTTTGAAAAACACTTTCAAATCCCGCCTTATTTTTAATCTGAGTCATTATGAGCTGGAACTGGTTTTATTAACCCAACACATCAATTGTAGCTAACACCGTGTTTGACTGAAAGGTTCTCACCAATTTGATGTTCAATGCATATCGAACTGCCAGTCTTCTGACCTTTGTTCCTGAACCCTACAAATCATAATCAAAAGTCGTGATTGAGCCTGATAGAGTTACTTGGACCAAAAGCAAAGTGGTCAAAGTGTGAGTAAAAAACCTGCCTACCGCATGGTTGAAAAAGTATTTTAACCACCAAATTTGATGTTCAAGATGAAGATCTTTGGCCTCGAACTTATTTCTGGCTCCTCGCGCCGAGATCAACATCGAATGTTTGATCACTCGAGCTAGGCCCGGCGGCAGATAGTATTCCAGGAGTAATACCAGACGAGGCAAGTGTTGAGCATAATGCGATAGACCAGGCGCACCATGGGCCATCGTGGCCCATCGTTTCCACATCTTGATGAGACGACCAATATCTCCAGCCTTCGTGGCCTGATCAGCCTCCACATAAGTTGCAAGATCACGCAACCGAAGGCGTAGATTATACCCTCGTATATCACCCTTTGCTCGAGATGAGTTTAGGCTTTCTTTCGAAAAATACCTTACTCGGGTCTGATCGATAATGGATTTAGCAGTGTTTGTATCCGATAGATCAGGCGTCTTTGATTGAGACCTAATCACATCACTGAAAGAATTTATATAATTAACATCATGTTAGTATAATCAAGAGAATAGAAAACTGACCGCAAACACCAAACCATCGTTGCGAAATGAATATGGTAGATCATCCGCATGATCACGCCAAAGTCTTTCTTGACTACTGGCTTTTCCGTCTTGCCCGAAAGTACTTCCCAACTCTTTGAATAAGGCAAATCCTTGGTATCTTCTTTAGTCCCCCATCCACCTAAAATTTGCCACTGGCCAACGTTCCACATTGAGTGAGCGGCACCCGGTAGGGTTAGATAGTTAATCATACTTTCATATCTTCTACCTGCAGGATGGAGTTTTGCTCGATAACTCTCCAGGTTGATGCAAGTACCTACATCTCCTTCAACCACCTGCAGATCATGTGCGTTGTCTTTCAGTGGTCGGCCTGTGATATTAGCTACATGATCAAGGACCTGCCCAACGCCCTCTGCCGAACCACAAGAGAGATCCATCAATGGCAACATGACTACATCTGGTTTCTCGGCCGGGAGTGGGTCGAGCGAAGGTGGGGTTCTAGTTAAGTTAGGCAACTTCGCAGGCTCCAGTGTCCTATTTTCAGTCACAATATAATCTAAGTAAGCCTGTCCTAGCTGCGCGTCAATCGTATCCTTCCAGTGTGCACGTTCGGGAAGGCTAGGTAGAAAATCCTTAACATCAACTTCCTTTTCCTCAGCATCTCGCATAGCCTGAACAAATGTATCTAGAGTTAGATCTTTCACATCTATTTTTTCATTTGATGTCAATTTTTTGGGTATGAAATGCATGTAACCATAAATTCCATGGTACATGCGTGAATCAGCTTCTACCCTGGAATAATGAACCCGCTCCTGGATATCGAAATTATCGAGAATTAGAAAAGGTCGGATGTGATAGTCACGAGAGACTCTGGCTCTCAGTATAGTCATTCCTATCTTGGCCAAGTGAGTGACCGCACGCAACGCGGATCGACGAGACGCCGTAAGACCCATGGCGTGGAGATATTGATTGATTCTCTCGCTGACGCCACCAGCCAGGAAAGCCACTGAGTTTTCGATTTGACGACTATTCACCGAGCGTTTGTTTACAAACGCAATCATTGAGCAGACTGTTGTTGCAACCTGTTAAATGACAGACCAATCAAGATCAGATCAAATGGTCTGGAATGGATCCACACGAGACCTACGAACACAATCAAATCTTCTTTTTGCCTGGTCCATTTTCGATCCCTTCTTCACGTAAGTCACATCTTCACCATCTATCAAATCTTCTAGTGGGTCATCAACTTCAAAGGTTTCATCCTCAGCATGAGATTCGGCTTGACGTCCTTTTCGAATACCATCTTCCATCATACCAGTACCACCATCCCTTTGAACTGTGAAGAGATCATCTTCAGAGAATCCTCCGGACAAAGTATCAGAATCATCATCCATGACTCGATTGAGATTTGTGGAGCCTGCCTCAATATCCACCCACATATCTTCCGATGCATCAGGAACATGCGTATTTTCAATTGTAATGTCAACAGGCTCAGCCCCGCTCCCCAAATCTACTAAGGAATCGGCCACGCTGATCTCGGAGGCTTCCGACATGACCTCGCTATCAGGCTCTGTTCCGGGTCTGTTGGAAGATAAACGATGTCGAATCAGTGACCATAGAAAACCCATGGCACTTCGAAGTTGGTCAGCCCGCTTCTGAATGTTTTTTTCGGAAAAGAAGCTCGGATCGACAGTGCTGGCGGCCACGCGATCAGGGTAGCAACGATTTCGCCATCAACGGGATGCCTCCATGTCTACTATTCGCTTGGCCTACCAAGTACCCAACATTTGTAAGATGTAAGATGATGATGCAACACATCTAAAATTTCCTGACTCACTTCTGAAAGTATGAAAGACTTCCATAATAGTCTACCCTTCATATTGTTGCAAATATGTTTTCGCATAGCTTCTAAGACGCTCAAAGTTGAAGCCCATCCCTTACGCCGTCCCCAAAATCGGCGAGAAGCCTTCAAGGTCCCATCCGAGTCCTCTGCTACTAGGTAAGCATAGAGAAAATCTTTAAAGTTGAGGTTTGATTTTTTCAACTGATTGACAATATTGACTGTAATTTCAATAACGGTTGAAGTGAGCTTTTCATCCCTGACACGAGAAGGAGGCATGTTGGTTTGGTTTGGTGAATGCTCGCAACTCTTGACGAGTTTTTTTGTTCACAAAAAGTCTTTGTAGTTTCTTTTGATTCAAAAAGAAACATTTGGTTCATTGAACCAAATGCCAAGGTCATCTACTCCTAAGACCAGTTCAATAGATGTCCAACTACTTCGTACCCTTCGTCATTTTCAATCGCCTATCTCATGAGGTAATGTGTTTATGTCCTGGATTACCAGTTTGTGGATGAGTCTCCATCAGTGACTAATGATGAAATCAGGGACAAATCACATCACTGGCTTTACTCAGGTTGATTTGCTTACTTTAGTTGCTGTAGCAGAGGCTATCCATGTTACGTGCGAAATGCTGAGCTTATGTGGTAAGGTCTGAGTCTAGTAGGATACTTAGTGATACTTCGTTAAGACGAGAGACATAACCATAAGCAACTCACCTTATGAGTCGCAGCAATCATTCAAGTAATTCACATGTTACACGTGGTGCTGAGACCAAAAGAAAGAGATGGATAAAAGGAAAGAAGATAGAGACTTCCTCGGGAAAAAAATAGTGTACATTGTGCGCAGGACGCCTGCGCACAATGTTTGTTATGGGTCTGGAAAGATTCCTCGGTCATTGAAGGATATAGATGGCTTGCGAGGACATCCTCAGCCAAATTCTCATTCCTAACGCTTGACGGCGTGCTAGTTTGGCGTAAGTCCCTCCGCTCGACACCTCGCGAGTAGGCGCGAGCGTGGGACTTTGTTAAGTTTAAAGGAAATCAATCATTCTCAAATTGGCTGTAGCATGTCATTTACAAAACCTTGTACCACTGGCAACAGCAACTCAAGTCTGTGACACTTGTGAGAGAGGTGGCCAGAATTGATTCTTAC